AAGGGCTCTGACACGGGATCAGGCTCCTGTAGTTACACAAAACCTCGAGGAACAGCTCAGCTGAAATGATTTTGTGTAAGTGGGGTAATTCAGGCGAACTCAACTACTCTCCACTTTGGCTAAAGCTGTAGTCAGATGTGAATTAGCAGAAACACCTCGAACACTGAGGTGTTTCTACCTGGAAAAGGCTTAGGAAACACACAGAGAGCCACGCAGGAAAGCTGAATTGTCTGAGTTGCCTTGGAATTAATGCAGGTGTAAATAAAAGCAGAATTTGGCCAAGCCTTTGCTCACCACAACAGCGTGAACAGAGCAGAAGCTCCAGGCTCACCTGCAGAAGAGACTCTGTGCAAACAGCACTGACACAACCTGCCAAAGGAAATTAAAAAAAAACAAACAAACAAGAAAACGAGAGGTAAAACTTGCCTTTTGAGAGCCTCCTGGGCGCCTGGCACAGCCGAGTCCTCCACGTGAAGTGTTCCATTGAGATCCACCAGGACGGCTTTGAGCGCCCGCCGCGCTGCCATCGCCCCTCCCTTGGGGCACGGGAGAACGAATGAAACCACAGACTGAGAAACAGAGACAATGGGCAATAAAAACAAGGAGCTCAGTTAAGCGCCTCATTTGTGCCAAGCCCGGTATTACTCACAACATTACTCGCAGCGCTGAATGGGCCCCTTTAGACTTGGGGGGGGGGGGCGTGAGGAAATAAGAGGCGGCGTTAAAAAAAAATAACAAAACACAACAAAAATACCAAAAACCCAACATAATTGATGGGGTGGTGGTTTCTTTTCTCCAAAAGACTCTATATATGGAAATCAGGTGCTGTTTGGTCTTTTAAGTGCCTTTATTTGTGCGTCAAAAGGGGGAAAAAAAAAATAAATAAAAATTCTCTGAACAGCTCAAGAGCGCTGGGAAGAAGAGGATCATTAGGTCTGGTATTGCTGGTTCAAGGCTTCAGCAAGTGCCACCTACGCCCGACGGCGCTGCTGAAGTGAAAATAAATACCCAGTGCTCTGGTTGTAAAGCTCAAAACGCTCCGCCAGAGTGGACATCGCTAATTTTTACTTTTGTAAGCAAGATCGAGGGTGATCCAGCCCAAACCACGGCTCGGGAACCCTGACTTGGAGGCTTTTTGGTGGTGACAGGGTGGAACTTGCAGGTTGTTAGACCCATCAGCATGGTCGAGTCCAACTCCTGGCCCTGCACAGGACACCCCAAGAATTATTTCTTTTTCTATTACTATTATCATCATCATTATCATTATTTAATATAATTTACTATTATTTTATCTTTTCCCTTCAAATTAATATAATTAGTCATAGTTATTATTTTATTACATTTTTAAATTACTGTTATTGTATTATCTTTTACCCAAGATCTCCATGGGTTCTCCTATTCAAAGGGCATTTATCTAGAAAATATGCAAGTTGTCTGCAGACGAGCCAGCTTTCAGCACAGCCTAATTTTAAAGATATCACTCACAGCCTGGCAAGGAAGTCCCAGGAAAAAAACCTCCAGAACCTCGGTTTTCATAATCACAGCCCTAAGAAAACTCACCTGGTCAGGAAAAAGGGACCCCCCCCCCAAGCCCAGCTCCCTCCTGGTCTCCGGGCTCGTGGATACCCAGCAACCCAAAGGGCTGGTCCCTGTTCTCCCAAAGGGGACAGCCAGCCAGGTTTTTTTTTTACTAGGAGCTTCTGGGTCACACAAAAAGGTACAAGAGACTCAGCCCATGCTAAGAGCCAGCATTTGAAGGGTAAAGGCACGGGGGAAGGAGACAGCAGCCACCTGGATAAAATCCACTCTTCAGAAACAACTCCCTTCTCCTCACACTGCAAGCGCTGCCTTTTGCTCCAAAAGCAAGTCCTGCTGTTTCTCAGAGAATGTCCAATACAGACACACACACTCTCCTGTTCGTTAGGCAATAACAACTGCTGGGAAGGCTGGGAGAAATGGGATTGTTCAGCCACATGGGGAAGAGAAGCTTCGGGGTGACCTAATTGTGGCCTGGAGGGAGCCAACAAGAAACATGGAGAGAGACGATTTCCGAGGGCCTGGAGGACAAGGGGGAATGGCTTCCCACTGCCAGAGGGCAGGGTTAGGTGGGATATTGGGAAGGAATTCCTGTCTGTGAGGGTGGTGAGGCCCTGGCACAGGTTGCCCAGAGAAGCTGTGGCTGCCCCTGGATCCCTGGAAGTGTCCAAGGCCAGGATGGATGAGACTTGGCGCAACCTGGGATAGTAGAAGGTGTTCCTGCCCATGGCAGGGGGTGGAATGGATGAGCTTTAGGGTCCCTTCCACCCCAAACCACTCCGTGAAATCTGTGACCTGTCACCACTAGCGAGGGAGTCACGGCTGTTGTGTTGAGCTGTTTTGGTTACAGACGGCACATAACACGCTTGTACTTCTAAAACACACACAGAATCGTCACTGCCATGGTTAGAACCCGCCTGAATAAATCTAAATTTCCCTCCACAGTTCCACCAGTGATCATGCGAAGTCGACGTCCCAGCTACAAGACACACACACACACAAAGAGAAAACTTTGAGACCCTACTTTCCTTTTTCCCTGCTGATTCTCTGCAGTAAGAAAATAAATGAAAAAGCCTCTTTTACAGTGTTCTCTGTTGTTACAAAGGGACAAAGTTAAACGCTTACGATACAAACCTGGCACCAGAGCTCCTAAAGGAGCCTCGTCAGCTCCATGGGGAAAGGGGGCACCCCAAGAATAAATAATTCTTGTCGTTCTTCTCCCGTTATTGCTAGTAATATATTTAGCTATTTTATAGCTACTTTATTTTTAATTACTGTTATTTTACTGTCTTTTACCCTAGATCTCCATGGGTTCTCCTGTTCACAGGGTATTTATCCAGAAAATAAGCAGTTATTTGGAGAGCCAGTTTTCGACACAGCCTAATTCCAAGGATAACGCCCACGGCCTGGCAAAAGAAGTCCTAAAACACCCCAGAACCTCATTTTTCACCATCTCATCCCAACCAAAACTCACCTGGTCAGGGCAAAGGGACCCCTCGGCCCAGCTCTGGGACAAGGACACGAGGGACACAAGGCGCGACCTAAGGGAAAGAGGGGTATATCATATAATTATATACGTGATTATATACTTGGGAAGGATGCTGAGGGCACAGGCGTGTCCCCGCCGCTCCACACAACACCCACGAGCACCCCCGCCCCAGAGGATGGTACCGCCTCTCCCCGCCAGCGCACAACGGGCAGGCGGGCCGGCCCATTCTCCACCGGGGGAATCCCGAGCGCGGCGGACTCCCCTCTTCGTGCCGCGGGTGGTTCCGCCCGCCCGTTGGGGGCCCAAGGGCGGCGGGCGCGCCCACTCTGAGGAGGGGGGGGAGCGGCCCGACCCCCCCCCCAAACGGCACTGACCCGGTCCCGCCGCCGCCGCCGCGCTCGGCCCCACACACCGCGGGGCCCTCGAGAGCCGGGGCCGCCCTGCCCAACGCCGGGGCCGCCCGCGGCCGGCACGCCGTGTAAAAATTATAATGCCATTATTAATGATGTAAATAAACACCGACCGAGGCTCTCAGGGAGCGGTGTCGCCGGTCGGCGCCTGGCAGTCGCGACAGGCAGCGCGGCGGGCAGCCCACGGGGCCCTGAGGGCCCGGGCCGCCTTACAATATGGATGTTTTTATAAATTATATAAATGGCATTAATTGCCTCAATTGTGGACATTACGCCCGTATTATTATACCCAATGCTTATCTTTTTTATCCGATGTCCTGTTTATATTCATATCCTATGTGGATACGACAGTAAATTATATGAATTTTATCCTACATGGATATGATAATAAATTATATAAGTTATACCCATTATCTCCTATATGGATACGACTATACCCATATCCATACACTACGGATATCCATAACTCTATTATTAACATATCCATAATCCATATGTTATGGATATTTTATAACCCATATATTACGGATATATTTCATCCTATATGGACATTACACACAACAATGTACCCATATACAGATACTATGATTATATACAATTGCGTAAAATATATAAAATAATATATTATTATGCCCATAGATGGGTATATCTGTAACTATAAAAACATATATATGGTACTGTGTTTTATATATATATATTTAAAAGCTCTAACTCCAGCTGCTGCCTCACTTTGAATCTTGCATCTCTCAGGTAAAACTTCCAAGTTTTTGCCTCAAATGAAGGATTTCTTGCATTTCCTGCTGCTCCTTCTCCCTGCAAGTGCCTCACCAGTTTGGAAGGGATCTGCCCACGTGCCCTGAGCCACACACTGCAACTTCACCCCTTCTGGAAGGACAAGAAGATGGGGAAAATCAGCTTTTACCCGTTTTTAAATCTGCTTCTTGTCGCATTTGGCGCTGGCTTTTATTTTAGTATTTTAACGGTCAATAGATATATAAAAATTAAACGATACACAAGCAGCGCCTCAAATCACTCAGCACTACAATGGAACAGCAGTGGGAACATCAACCACTGCTTTTCTTTCCAAAAATTTTACAGCGTTTTATCATTTTGATCCACTATTTTATCAGTTCCACAAACAGGCTGCCCGTTTTCCATGACAGACAGGTATATATTAAAAAACTGAGGCGGCCTGTACCCTCTTCACCTCTGAATTACACAAAGATTGTATTAAAGAAATGCTTTCTAACAGGTCCACCTACTCCCGAACTTAAAAGATCGTCCTCTGCCTCAGGCCAACGTTGCCACGGCTCATTAGGTTTGCTACATAAACCAAAATACAGCTTCACAGTCAAGAGATATTTGTATCACAGGGATGAGGGGAAAAAAAAAAAAAGTATTTCCTGTGAGAACAGTAACTCTGATATCTGCAACAGGATGAAGACAGATTTGAGATAATCCCACCGTACACAGGTAGAAAGTGAGTTAGGAAAGAGAGTGTTCGACTTAGAAATTCAGAATTTATTTACAAAAATCACTAAAAAAAGAAGGAAACAACACAAAACTCTACTCCTGGATATATTTTACTCTGACAAAACACTGCAACCGAAAGATTATTAAATGCATTCACACATTTTACAGATTCATATTCATATACAACAGCGTATGCTTTAGTCATCAAGGCATCAGGAGAAGAGATTACAAACTAAGCTGCTTTAAAATAACGAAACTGCCAGGTTTCCCCTTGGCATCCCCTCATCAAAATTAAGGTAAAACACTTTAGCAGAGAAACAGACACGAGAATTCTAACTTTTCTGAAAAGGTACATGAGAACGTGCCTTCCTTAATTCAGAGATAACTCAGCAGACGAATTGAAACCTGTACCAAAGCAATTATCAATATTCTCTGCGACAGAACTGCAAAGTCATTTCCACAGTTTCACTTTCAGAGCTGTTAATTTAACAAATGAAGATGGAGGGTGGGGGGAGGAGCAGTAACAGAAGAGGCTGCAAATTCGGGGGGGTTTTTAAACAAAGAACTGCATTTGAAAAGGGCATCATATTCCCCCTCTCCCATGGTATTTCCCCTCCTCCCACATTTCCCAGGAACTGCAGAATAGAAATGGTTCCCCAATTCGACCACACTAATCACCATGAAGAAAAACTTTAAAACACATTTAAAAAACTCTAATACCCCTTGACAGAAGAGTAACAAATGCTAATCACTAATATCCCCTGCTAGGCTAAATTAATACAGAGTCGCCCAGCTTCAGGTACAGAATTTTTTTTTTTTTTTTTTTTTTTTGCACAGCAATTGCATTTATTTTCAAATGACTTCACCATAAGCATGAACTACTGAAGAGATCTGAAGAGAAAAATCGTGCTCTCAATCAAACCAGGAAAATTCTACTTTCAATGTGAGCCAGAATGAGAACTTTACCCAGTTGGTTTTATCTCCATATCACAGCTGGACTTCAATCCCCTATAACATGAACTTGAATTCTTGATAATAACATGTTTTCAGAGCCTAGTTCACATTCCATGAAATAGTGCTGTGGTAGTAACTGAAATTAAAAAAAAAAAAAGAAAAGAAAAAAAAAAGCCACACCAAAACACTGTTGTTTTCCTCAATTTAAAAACAAATTGGAAAGCGTACTGAAGGAAATTCATCCCTGAGTAACAAGACACTTAAAAACTGCATCCTATATTAACAGTCACTGCAATATTTTATGACATCAACACTATGAAACAGGCAGCAACAGAACTTGTCACAGTCCAACATATTTGCAGCATTGTTGAATTGATCCCCGTGATCTTGGTTAGTGAAACCAAAAGGGAACATCGGGAAATAGGATGAGTAGAAATAGTGTCTTTATTATTTTAAGTTGGAGGTCAAATTGGGAGCTAAACTGTGCTGGATGCCAGAAAACTCAGAGCAGTGATGGTCAACAACCGGCTTCTTTGGATGTCCAGAGGATTTTCACCAGGTGTCTTCAGCCAAACAAAAGGAGGAGGACGATTGTAATGGAGTTCAGTGCTATTAAGGGCACTGCAGAGGGAAAAAGAAAAGATTAATTGTGAAATCCTTCCTTTCCACGTCACTGAATGACAGAACTTCAGAGAGTACCTTGGGAGAAGGAGCAGAGTTCCATCAAAAATTTAAAAAATACACTGAAATTTTCCTGTGCAAAATCGGGACTAGTGGAAGGAGCCAGGCTTGAAGCCCAAGATACTAAAAATTAGTAGGAAGCAACAGCAGAAATATTCTTCTATGGCCTGTTTTAACTTTAACCCAGAAAGCTGTGTTCTGTTTTAACTTTAACCCAAATAACTCTTTCTCCAAATGAAATTAAACCGTCTCAACATCAGTTTCTGTCCTTGGCTTTACTATGATTTAGAATAAATGTGGTTTTTGTTGTTTTTCACTCAGTGGTGGGCCTGAGAGGTAATATTTGTTACTTCTTCTCTATCATCACATAAAAAAAGAACTTTTGTGTGCTTTATAACAAAAAAACTATCAATAACTTGCAAATAAAGCGTATTTCCCCCCCAATCTTTTGAGGCACTTAAGCCTGGCTTACCTTTCAGAATCCCTAAAATTACATTTCTGTCACCAGGTACTTGCCATAAAACTGAATTTAGACAAGGAGAAGCTAATTGCACACTCTGATTGAGCACTGAGCTTCTCCCCAGCCCCCAGACTCCAAGGGAAGACAAAACTCAGAATGGTAACAACAAACATCAAGATAATATTAATAATAATAATAATAATAATAATAATAATAATAATAATAATGTGGTCCCCTTACCTCTCATAACAGTTCGTACTGATCGAATAAGGTTCATGAGCTGTGCTTTAATTCCTGGTTCCTCTCCAAATCCTCCAATCCCTTGGTCAGTTCCCCAGCCAACTGTGTCACATAAAAACAGGCAAACACTTTAGGAGAAAAAAAAACCCCAAAACCATGAAACAAATAGTGTAATACTAATGAGCAATCCATCCTGAATATGGTTTACACTAACACTGAAAGGCAAACCACCAATTAGCTTTATTTCATGATCAGATTTTCACAGAATAGACTGAAAACTGTTAAACCTGATGTTAAGAAACGACAGATCGACGTCCCTGTAAAGGACAACCTCAACTTTTCAACACACTACTAATCCCCAAGTACCCAGAGAAACACCGGAATTCATTCGGGCTTTAAAAAGGTAGCTGCCAAAATTAACCCAAACCAACCACAAACTGTTCACAGGTCTGAAAATAAAGCAGCAAATAACTGGACATGGGTGTGAAGCGATGAGGCCTCGGTGCCGAGAAAGATGCTACACGATAGAAAATCAGCCAGCACAGCTTCAAAAGTCAGGATGACGACTTTGTAACCGCTATTTAAAAAAAAAGAGAACTTTTGGGGGAAAAAATGGGAACTTTTCCGAGCAGGACCTAAGTCCTGAAGGCTTACAAAGCTCTCCAAGGGAGTCCCGACCCTCTGCAGGGAGGCACAGCTACAGGATCAGGGAGGTGTCCAGGGATTCCTGAGACCTGCTGGGCACAGCCCTTGCCATTTTGGGGGCCAGCGGGGCATGGAGCCTTTCAGTATTCCAGTTCCAATGCCCAACCTGCAGGTTCCTGTTCCCCAGGGACAGTTTTTGCAGGATTTCTCCTCTCGCCCCCTTGTCTCCCTGGTCCAGCTGGCACCAGGATGAGGGTGGTGTGTCCTCTCCCTCACCTGCCCCGCCAGGTGCTGCTTCACACCTGGATAAGCTCGGAGCTATTCCCAAGTCTCCCGAGGCCGACAAGTGGCTTCACCCACCCCCTTAATCCCCACATCCCCCTTTTCCCGCAGCTGCTGCTCATCAGGAAAGCATAAGGAAGCCCCAAACCCACACCGAGCAGATCCCTCGTAGCGATTCCAACTGGGATCACCCTTTGCACGCTCCTGCCAAGAATCCCAGCTCAGCCTGACGTGGGGAAAAGTCAGGATTCTCCAGATCAGGGAAGTGGACCATTGGTAATTTTTTTCCATGGCTTTGCAGATCTATGATGGATATACCCTGTTTTGTAGGAGGTTGAAGGACAAGGATGCCCAGCCCTGGGGACCCCGATGGGCCGAGAAGCGCCATCTCATCAAGAAACCAGGCGCGGCCAGAGGAAGGAAAACCTTTGCACGACACCAAACATCCCGACGGGCGTGGAACAGCGGGAGAGGGCAGGGAAAAAACACAATTACGGGGAAAAAACCCAAAACAAATATCAAAAAAGAGAGAGAGAAAGAGAGAGGGGGAGAGCGAGAGAGAAAGAGAGACAAAGCTACGACGGGAGCGGCCAGGAACCCATCCCCAAATCCCAGGCGAATTCCCAGCTCCCTCCCCCGGGGCCGCGCGGCCCTCCCGGCTCACCGTGCCGCAGGAAGCGCTCCTCGTGCAGCACGGCCACGGCGTTCACGATGAGCAGCGAGGCCTGCAGCAGCGAGTACAGCGTGAACGCCATGGCCCGGCGGGGCGGGGCCGGGATTAGGACCGGGATCAGGATCGGGATCGGGATCGGGAGCGGAGCCCGAGCGGGACGTGGCGCGGGGGCGGGGGCTTAGCGGGGGCGGGGTTTACGGGGGTGGGCGTGGCCCCGATGCAGCGGGCGGGGGCGGGGCGGGGGCGGGGCTTCCCCCTCAGGGCGGCCGCGCCCGGGCGCTGGGATCGCCCGGGGATCCCGCGGGTCTGCGGATTCCTCAGATCCATGGATCCCTTGGAGCCTCGTGGGTCCCCCGGCTCTGTGGGTCTCTCGGAGCCCCGTGGATCCCTCGAAGCTCCGTGGGTCCCTGCGATCCATGGATCCCTCAGAATGCCGTGGGTCCCTTGGAGCCCCCCCTGAACCCTTCGGGTCTGTAAATCCCTTGGAGCCCCCTGGATCCTTCGGATCTGTGGATCCCTGGGGTCTTTGGCTCCCTCGAGTCCCTCGGGTCCATGGATTCTTCAGATCCATGCATCCTTGGAGCCTCATGGATCCCTCAGGTCTGTGGGTCCCTCGGAGCTGTGGATTCCTCATGTCCGTGGATCCCTCAGGTCTGTGGATCCCTCGGAGCTGTGGATTCCTCATGTCCATGGATCCCTCAGGTCTGTGGATCCCTCGGAGCTGTGGATTCCTCATGTCTGGGGATCACTCGGATCTGTGGATCCCTTGGAGTCCCGTGGGTCCCTCATGTCCACGGGTCCCTCGTGTCCGTAGATCCCGTGGATCTGTGGATCCTTTGGAACCCTGTGGGTCCCTCAGAACCCCCTGAATCCCTTGGGTCTGTAAATCCTTTGGAGCCCCCTGGATTCCTCGGAGCCACGTGGATCCCTCGTGTCCGTGGGTCGCTCAGGTCTGCGGGTCCCTCGGGTCCACAGATCCCTCAGATCCATGGATTCCCTTGGAGCCTCGTGGGGCCCTGGAGTCTGTAGGGTCTCTGCGAGCCCCACGGATCCCTTTGGAACCCTTGGTGTCCAGCAGGGAGACATCCCCCTTCGCAGGGCAGCCCCCGTGGCCACCTCTATCAGCGGAATTAATCAAAAACATATGCAAAAATACGTGGGTTTATATTTTTTATTTAGTCTCACCGACGGCATTTCCCCTTCCTCGATGTATATTGATTTTTGTTATGTCCCCGGCTAAGGGTTCTAGCAGGAAATCAGCCCGGATCCCAAACGTCGTTTGCCCAACGTGTAAATGATGCAGAACCCCAGAACAAAACAATTATCTTTTATGTTGGATTGATCAGGGCTTCTGGGCGGTTCTGCAGTCAAATAACAAAAATAATAGCAACTGGAGCTCGGGGATACTGTATTGAGGGATATTGTTAGTGAGGCACAAATAGGCATTTTTTTCTCCTTGCATCCCTCAGTCCGATTGGCTGAGGGGGGTGATTTGCATAATCACTCCGATTTTATTTCTCAGTAATCGTACAATGCACAAACCCCTTAACTCCGGATGGTTGATAGCTTTTATTGCTCAATCAGGGTACAATGATTTGCATAATCACTGCGCTTTGATTGTTATTAGACCCATTCACTGCAACAGAAATCATAACTTTGTGCTTAGCGTGCTGGACTGGAGAGACCCCGACCTTGGCAGTTTCCTCTGCCACAGATTTCTGATCTGGGCAAATTATTCACCATTTATCAATATTACATCTCCATGTTAAGACCCACTCACCAGCAAACGTGAGATGATCTGATACTTTTCAGCACGTAAGTAAGTGTTGGGAGCAAATAATCAATAGATGCTCAGACACCACCTGGAAAAACTCACACCTCAGCTGCTTCTTGTCTTCATCTTTCCTTTCCAGAACACTCACTTTGGTACGGTCAGTGGCATAATATTATACATCTCAATAAACATCACTATTAAATAACATCACATTTTAATAAATGGAACGGAAGGCAAGAGAGAGCACCTCATCATCGAAGCTGTAGCATATTTTGTTACTAATTTACCCCTAAAATCAAGTACTATGAAATAAGAGATATAGAACAGGGAACAAAAGCAAATGTATCCATCAGAGTTTTGTCATCTGGTCAAAAGCATTTGTCACTTCAGCCTCAAGGAGGAATATAATCTCAATTCAGGTAAACTAGTAAAACCCATTGCACTTGCAGTGAGATCAATATTATTTAAGCATACAGTGGCATTTTCAGACATATGAAAGCTCAAATTATTCCCATAATCTGGCAGTTCAGATTCTGCAAACTCTTATGTGTGTGATTAACTTCACATATGTCAGCAGCTAGTGGGGATACTCGAGTGTACTGGCACTTGCAAGCTCAAAAATTCCAACCTAACTTCTTTATTTCCCATCTAGATTTCAAAATTTGGTGTAACTGCAAAGCTCCTAATAACTCTCCATGCAATGTTTTTCATGGAGCCACTTCTAGGTGTCCAGGGCGCCCCAAAATTTGACCAAAATTTGGGGGTTTTATTATTCAAGCCATCTTTTTCCATCCATAAATAATAAAATAAAGGCTGATCTTGAATTTTACCAAGCTCCATACATGTCAATATTGGGCTGAAAAGATTTCATCCCAGAGGCCATCACCATTTTTTAAGAAGTTGCGAGTGGTGGCATATAATGGTCTCACAAATAAAGCTGTCTTTTGTTCTCAGGTACAACTTAGGGCATTATGGCAGTAATTCTATAATTAAATACAGATAAATTGGGGGGGATGTCAGTAAGAGGCTTGTCTAATAACCACCATCATCAAGTTGCATTTCCTGGGCTACCTCCTTGCAGTATCCAACCTATAAATAATTGCTAACCTCAGTGAAGAGCTAATGCTTAGAACTACGGCAGTGGAAAAAAAAAAAAAAAAGAGGTTTTTATAATAACTGTACAAGTTATGGTTTAGTATTTTTTACCCATAATTAAGATGTATTTCCAAACAGGAGCTGCTGTCAAGCTTACATAAACTTGACATGATTTTCCCCTTTGTAAAATCCATCATGGCAACTTAACAACCACAGAGTCTTATCTCTGAATCATCATGTTGCGTGGCTGAAGGGAAAAACAGATTAAGTTGTTTGCATTAAAAGGAAAGGGTTTTTCCCCTCCCTCCCCCCCCTTTATTAAGGTGTTACGTTTCAGTGCAGTAAATTCCTGTGGTGTCATCTGCAGGGTGCAGGCAATCACCATAAAGGAGATTTTTAAACTTCAGTCTGGTTAAGTATTGTGAAGACCTTGTGAAGACCATTCAGTATCATCAGACAGAGCACATCTCACTGGGTCTCGCTGTCCCCTACAGAGAACTGGGCTTGTTGCTTGTGAGCTTTCAGGATTACACGGTTTATACCTGGTGAGCAAATACCAGGCCAGAGGAAGACTTGTCATGGCTTCAAACCTTGCCACCACCATCCTCTGAGTTTATTTTCTGAAACGGCTTTAGCTATTTAGATGTCCTTCTTTAGATATTTTGCATAACCAGACATATTCAGTAAGGGCATTTCTGAGACGCAGGAAAGGCTGGAAATCGGCCCAAACCATCCCAAGCCGAAAGTGAAGAAACGTGTTTTGTTAACGGCAACTTTCTTACCAACTTCTACCGTGAGTAACTCCATTAACCAAAAAAAACTGTGCATGTCAAAAACTGAGGTTCTGTGGCTCAGTCAGCTGCTCTAAATAAATCCCATTGCTACATTTCACAGTGAAACTAAAGGCTTTGACAACCCTTACTCATCACACCTATAGCACTGTCAAACTGCTGTAAAGGTTAATGATGCATCCGACCGATGTAACACGTCTCTTGGAAGCACAAACTGAGTAGCTGATTTAATGTCCAGACGACGGTTTTAACCACCAAAGCTGGGAATGCAACAAGATTTTGTGCATTTGAGAGAATGTGTATCCGGTTCTCACCCTTCAGCAACTACGCACAGGAAAGGTCCTTGTCTTGTCCATGACTCACGGGTCTTCCCTTTCCTTGCTAGCTTGGGAAGTGAGGAGCCACTCCCTTCAAAAACCTTAAAGATTGACTCTGTGACATTACCTTCTTCTGTGATTATTGGCACCGTTTGTGTTGTGTTTTCGCTGGAATACACCAGTCCAGAGCCAAATCCTGTGATGCTCAGTACCAGATATTTTACAGAGCTGACAGGTGTCAGAATTTTACAGTCGATGTCTCAGCTAGAAGACAGTGGATATCAAAAGCAGACTAACATGGGGAGCAGGGCAGCAAGGAAACAAACAGACTTTGTCAGAGAGTTAAAAGTCTGTGGTCAGACCGACCTCCCTGCTGACAGGCAGGCAGGATTTGTAGGTGCTGAGACAACAGCAGGTCTTAGGGAGGGATTTAGAGGATGAGGAAACAGCTCCATGAATTTTGAAAGGGAGTGGATTTTGTCCTTTTGAAGAAGAAGCTGGGATATTACAGAGAGCAAAGGGAAGGGATGTCTGAGGTTGGTGTTAGCAGCAGACAGGCAGGAGCAGCTCCCTCAACACAGGTATGGAAAGAGGGAAACCCAAGTGGATCAAATTCTCATGGGCACGGAGTTGGTGTTTGCCACCACAGACTTGTGTTTCCATTGGATGATGGGAAATGGTGTGAGTAGCAGTGTTTTGAATGGGAATGTGGCTAAAGGATCATGTAATCTCATCAAAGGATCCTGCTGTGGCTGAGCATCCACCAGGGATGGCTGACATGTGCCTGCAGCTTCAGAATCAGGTCTGGCTTCCACCTCTGCTAATAGAAAAGTTACTGAAACTGCCCTTTTAGGGCAAACCTAGAGTAGTTTCAGTGGAGATCAAAGTCCACCTGCCTCTGTGGCACAGATTTTCATTCAGGTCTGTGAAATGCCCATGTGTCCCTGTGCAGGGCAGCCTCATCTTCCTGCGCCTACTCCAAGTCCCTCTTTTGACAAGTACTGTATGCAGGAACTCAAACAAGTGTGTTGGTGTCCCAGAGTGTCCTGCTGGGGCCAGACTCTCCACCAGCAGCTTTCCCAATGAGCCACTCGCCCCACCTAAGCCTGGAAGAGGAGGAAATTCATAGGCTGTAAGCCATGGGTTCCTAGCAGCAGTTAGCAAAGGGCAAGAAGTTGGAATAGTCTGGCCAGA